CAAATTCACTGCTACAAAAACACAAAAGTTTATTGCATTAGAAGTGAATTTGTGTTTTTAAAGCAGTGAATTTGTATTTTTTAAAGCAGTGAACATACAGTAAATGCAAAAAGTATTCGTACAAAGAAAATATTTTTTAAAAACTTTATTTTTAAAAAGTAAATATTATCCACCAAGAAATGAGTCATGGAATTGATGTCAAATCGACATCGATACGATGATTTCAACACCATTTGACATCGATTCAACATTATTTGATGATCATTTCTTGATGAGTAATTAATAATTTATTCATAAAGAATAAAATAATGTATGTTTCTTAAAATTATATATACCAAAATGATGTGTATTACTATAATTATAAAAAACATAATCTAAAAAATAAGCGAAAATTAAAAATTATATTATTTGAATGCTCGAAAAGTATTTGTACAGTCGGTAAATTTAGCTTCTAAAATCAGGAATACATGCGAAGCTCGTTTCCTTATGTTAGAACAGAATGTATTCATTGTATAAAATTGTTAATTAATGTTTATTTTCTACAAATAAAATTTGTTTTATAAAAAAATTCCTTGTACGAATACTTTTTGCTCTCACTGTATGTGTACGAAGGGTTTCAGAGCAGGCATTCGTTTTCAGTGAAAATGCGTCGAATGAGTCTTATTTCATTAAAATCGGAAGTGAGATAACAATTTTAAATAAATATTGACCAAAGTACGTACATATAGCGCTATATTAAGTCAGTGTGATAGATTTCCTAACTTCAATAGTCCTGAACTTCAACACTTAATATCTTAGGTAATTATTTAGAATAACCCCCCTCTCCCCCACCTGAAACCTTAATAAAAATATACTTATTCGACATGTTTTCACTCAAAACAAAAGAATCTGGCAAAAAAACGCGGTCGGTCTCGTGAATCGAGTTATTAAGCATTAAAGTTGGAGACTTCATAGGTAAAGATATTTGTCACCTCGAATTAATATAGTGCTATATATACATTCTGCATTAATTACACAAAATCACTGCTTTAAAAACATAAATTTACTGCTTTAAAACACAAATTCACTGCTTTAAAAACACAAATTCATTGCTTTACAAACACAAATTTACTGCTTTACAAACACAAATTCTTTGCATTGGCAGTGAATTTGTGTTTGTAAAGCAGAGAATTTGTGTTTTTAAAGCAATAAATGTGTTTTTAAAGCAGTGAATTTGTGTAATTAATGCAAAACGTATACATAGAACTGTATCGAATCGAGATGATAGATATCTTAATCTCTAAAGTCTCCAATTTTAACACTTAATAACTCGATTCACGAGGTCGCCGCGTTTTTTTTTGCCAGGTTCTTTCGTTTTGAGTGAAAACACAAATAAGTGTATTTTTATTAAGATTTGAGGTAAGGAGGAAGGAGGGATATTCTAAATAATTACCATATCTCGGATCACAGAGCAGAGCGACGCTTTTTTTTTGCCAGATTTTTTCATTTCATGCAAAAACGCGTCAAATAAGTCTAATTTCATTGATTTTATAGCTGTGAATGCTAAACTAAATAATTACCTTAAATTATAGCAGAGAATAGTTCATCAACAAATAATTAAACACATGCGTAAAAGGTCACGGATCGTGGAAGAAGTGACCTCATCGCATGCTTATATACTTTTGCGTGGCTATAACATATTTCCTAACCTGAATAATCAACTTTAATGTCTTGATTCATGGGGCAAAGAGTAACGTTTTTCTTCTGTTAGATTCTTTCATTTTATATAAAAACGCCTCGAATAAGCCTAATTTCATTGATTTTTGTGATTAAGCTTGTCTCCTTCATAATTACTATCCTTTATAACATTGGGCAAGAATTTGTTGGCACTTGCTTGCATTGTTGACATTTGTCTCTTGTCTCAGGGGGATCGGCAGGAATGCTCGCTAGTTCACTCCACACGTTATCCTCATTCATGACAAGTGATTCATGAAAAGTAAAGATTATTTAACAATTATATACTGTAATGTTAGATGACGTGATCAAAACAGTACAAGTGTCACGTTTTGTAATCATCATACATCAGAATCATAATATTTATAGCGAAAACTGAGTAAGGGTGCGAGTAAGGTTACGTTGAGCGCGATACGCGATACAGTAACTAATAGTAACTAATTAGGCAACTAGAAAACCGCGTACCATGTCATACTGGAATCATGGTACCACGTACCGTCTATTTTACTGATATTATATGGAACACGGGCTAGTAACAAACTCACATTGCTATACACCGCTATAGACTTTTTAATGGAATTAATTGATTTAAACACAATTATTATGTAAATCTGTTAAAAAATAAGAGTATCGATAAAATATGCCATAAAAATAAGTTAATATATTGAAAACAATTCAATCTAATGTGAGTTTGTCACTAGCCCGTGCCGCAAACCGCATGTAAACCGCGCTCCATGTAATATCAACGAAAGAAATAGGCGGTACGTAATACGCGGTTTCCTAATTGCCTAGTTAATTACTATTAGTTACTGTACCGCATACCGCGCTCCATGTAATCGCACCCTAAGTCATTTCGCACAAAATGTAGGAAGAAAATTTAATGCCTCCGGCATACCAGCATGATATTTATCGCGCGCAACACGCGATATCCAATGAGTGTACAGCTTTTACCGATGTTCTCATTCTAAAGGTATATTGTCATTGAATATCGCGTGTCGCGCGCGACTAACATTGCGCTGGAGTCATAAAACAAAAAAACGACAGTACTATCCATACGCATTCATGTAAATAGTAATGACTGCAGAGAAAGCAGCTTTGCAACTATGTAAGGGGCTCCGCACAATAAAAGGAATAGGGAACAGAAAACAGAAAATAAGAATTTCAACCTATCAGAAATCACGTATTGTGGAATACACAGTTTCTGACAGGTTGAAATTCTTATTCTCTGTTCTCTGTTCCTTGTTCCTTTTATTGTGCGAAGCCCCTAAAACTCTTCAATACAATTTCTTGTTCTTGCTTTTGATTCGTTAAGATATGTATTCATAGTGTCGCTCGTCGCTCATATTCAGCGACATATGAATCACGTGATTTTATATGTCGCTAACCTCGAATGTCGCTCATATAAATGGGCTAACAGTGATAAATTTTTGACAGTAATTATATTAATTGTGTTGTGTAAAGTCTAAAATGTCATATCAAAAACGATATTACGATTGGACCTGTCAAGTGAATGCGATTATGCACAATAAAAATAAAGCGAAATTACGGCAAAATAGACTAGTAGTATTTATGTGCATTAATAAATATACAAATTTAAAAAGAAAATAAAAAAAAAGATTTTGGGTTGATCTTCATTTGAAAGATAACGTGAACATGAATTTTAAAAAAATTATTATTAAAAAATTATCAACAAATAACCGGTTATATGCTTTTATACACCCATAAGTCAAAATGTTTTTTTCATCCATGATCATTTCACATATGCCACAAGTACGTACAGTGCAGTGTATTAATTCGCTGAGTCAGTAGCAGCCCGACTTATTGAAAATAAGAAAATGCAATAATAAAAGGTTTATAAAAAATTCTGAAAAAATTCGTCAAAGTTCTATGAGAAAAAAATAAATGATTTTTGTCTCTTGTAGTTTTTCTGTAAAGTTGATAGTATTTGAGTAGAAAATAAACGTCGATAAGTCGGGTCACTACTATGACCCAGCGAATTAATGCACTGCAATGTACAACAGCGAAAACTTCATGAAATTATCGCAAATAATATAATAATTAAATAATAATAATAAATAGTAATAATTTAATAATACAATAATTAAATTAGTATAATGTATCGAGCGATTATAAAGAAAAGTCGATATAAATTAAATTGGAAATAAAAATAAAAATAATCAAAATTAAATGAAATAAAATCGCACGCAACAAATTTTTTATTAATAAGAAATTTGTATTTATTTATTTAGTGTGATAATTATTTAGAATACCGACATTATTACGAAACTTGATAAAAATATATTTATTCGACACGTTTTCACTCAAAATGAAAGAATCTGGCAGAAAAACGTGATAGTATGCTTCATGAAGCAAATTATTAAATGTTAAAGTTGGGTTACGTTTGGAAACATTACCCGAATGCTTCTAAAGGGTGTCTAAAAATGACCTGACATTTTAATTTATTAATAAAACATATTATTTATTTGAAAAGTACACATGTTTTTAGTTTAATATAAAGTACAAACATGGAGGTTATATGTGGAACACAATATCCGATAAATGGCCGCCTCGACTCTGTTTGCAAACGTTCATTCTTTTGACAAAATTTTCAATGACATTTTGGCATAATTGCGGACTAATTTCATTAATGGTACGTCTAATTTCTTCCTTCAACTCCGGAATGGTCTGTGGATCATTGGCATACACTTTTCCTTTCAGAAAACCCCAAAGAGAGAAGTCCAATGGCGTCAAATCGCACGATCTTGGTGGTCAATTCACATCGCCGCGGCGCGAAATAACACGACCATGAAACTTCGTCTTTGATATTTGTAGTGGATTTTCACAATTTCTATGCGTTGCTCGATCGTGTAATTCTCCATGACTAAACCTCAATACTTCCTGATGCCAGTTGTTAAAGATTAGTACGTTACGTTCGTTGCAAAAAAAATGGCGCGCAATTTAAAATGTCAGATCATTTTGAGACACCCTTTATGTATCATTTTTACCTTGTGTTTATCATTGAATAATAAGATAATACATGAGGACCCTTGGGTGACATTTACATATTATGCAGCTCTATTAACTATTCAGATAAAGAAAATTCATTTTTCTAACCTGAATAATCGCTTCATAAGGCAGATTGTCTGGCATTTTTCTACTTAATTCTACTACATTCTCTCATTTCAAATGGAAACGAATCAAATGAGTATATTTTTATCAAGTTTTGCGATGACATCCGTATTCTAAGGTTACATTCCAAAACGTCCTCTCCAAGGAAAATTGTATTCGAAATATATAGGACATGTAACGTATACAATATTTCGAGTAAAATTTTCCTCGGAAAGGATGTTTTGGATATAGCTTAAGTAAATATCCTTATTATACTTACATTCTGCTGTTCCATGTTTAAATCTTTGCATAAGAGCGATGTCGCTAAAAGTTGAATTAATTAAACTTTTCAAGGGTGTCGCTGGCGACACGATAGTGGATAAATTGAGGAAAAATTCAGTTACGTGATCATTTATTGGTGTCCGTGGAGTAATAAGGAGATCAAACTCGAGGTCTGAAAGTGGGCTCGAAACAGTATAGGAAAACCCATGGAAAATCCGGTAGACGTGATTTTAGTACCATCACGCCTTGCGGTTATTTGAAAAGTTGTAAGTATGGATTTGTCATGTGATCACAGGTCACACGTATGTTCTACTAGGGATTCTCTAATAAGGGATGAGACAACACGCCGAATGTGCCGCCATTCGAGGGTCAGAAAGAATTTTAAACTATGCTCTAACTTAAAATTATATTGTGTAAAATTTTATTCGGAATTTGTTTATTCGGTAATTATATTCGGAAATAATGTAAATGATGTTAATAATTAATAATATTATTTATGTTTAAATTTCTACTATTATATAATATTCTTATCATTACATGCATTTACTTAACATATATATTACATATAATAAATATACATTTACATGTCACCATTAAAGAGATTATAAGGGCGTAAAACATACATATTAACATTTTAACTTTAAACAAACTATATTATACATATGAAAGTTGTGTCCATAACATTTTGTTTCTATTGAATAATACATTTTAATATATTATTAATTTTATTTATTATTTTCATTACTATATACAAAAATTTTAGAATTTTTTGTTTCAGATTCAATTAAATTTTAACAAATAATAATAGTAATACTAATATTAATTAATAATAACTACATTCAAAATAAATACATACAAATTAAGGTTTATGCCGTACAAGTATTTTTAATTATTCTCAACGATACTTCTTAATAATTTTATTATATAGAAATTTAGAGAAATGAAATATATATTGTATTAAATATATATTATAAACGCGAGTGTGGCATGGCAGACAACGCACTGGTCTATCATGCCAGAGAATCGAGCCGGGTTCGATCCCGATAGGAATCAAAATATTTACACTTGTGTCTCCTCTTAGACATAACCGGCAACCTCTCGAGAGTATATCACCACCGAAATATGTCTCGAAAAATCCGCTGTTCGGAACCAGCATTAAAACTGTAGGTCCCATATGTTCGTGGCAATTGAATAATCAGCGTGCGCACCACAAGTATATGAGAGATGTAACACAGGCTTTTTTAATGTAAGAAGAAGAAATATACTATATTCAAATTATTATAATTTCTACTACTATTTTTACAGTTAGGAGCACTGCATAATTGATGTTCTAAAATGCATCAAGCCAATAAAATTTAATTCGGTTTCTAGGTTAGACATCAATTTTTGAATAAATTTTACTTCAAATAATTTCGTAAATTACGAATTGTCAACAAAAAAATTACGAATTGTTACAAGGTCAGTATTAACCTCTTCTTTTTAATATGTAATACTTACTTTTATACATTTATTTCATAAATTTTTGGGCTCAATCGATATCGTGGGATATAAAGACATACAAAACAACTTTTTTACAAAGCACGCGGAAGTGTCTCTCGAATGGCGGCGACCAATACGCAGTTTTTGCACAGGCGTTGTCTCATCCCTTACTAAAGGATCCTTAATTTCTACTACACATACTACATACATACATGTGACCTGTAAGCAATTATTATGATGAATATTGTATTAATTTAGTACATACATCATTCTTTAAATATATTACTGAAATTAAAATAATTTAATAAAAAGTTACTAGTTAGTACCTGCATCAAGTGCACGATGTAAACTACAGACCTATATATTTCCTATCATTGGCCTAGTTTCCACGAGGGTTTAATCCCATGGACCTAAGATAAACATGGATCTAAGAATCTATGGACGGAGCGCAAGGCAATTTGGATGGTAAATCCGTAAGGGGGATGTAGCGCTATCTCTTTCTAGGATAA